TGTGGCAGGGACTAAAGAATCACAATGCTCACATGATTCAGTGGAGGCTCGGCATGGGCAGGTAAGATGGGATGTGTGAAAACATTTGGGGTGACTGAAAAAGAGTGCTGTCCAGTGTGCGAGTCTGGCAGGCTGGCCTTCCAGCTCAGCCTCCACCCCATGTGCAGAGGCCTAGGTTGGCATGGACCCTGGCATGCATGTTGTCCTGACTGGCAGGCAGGGTTTTACTTCAGACTTCGAGGGGGCTCTTGCCCCTCAGCAGGGGCCAGGACCTCAGGCAGAGAGAGCAAGTTCTGCCCTCAAAGGCGCCTGAGAAGTCCACTTGCCTTGGAAGAATCTGAGCAAAGAGCAGTTATTCAAAGGGATATGATATACTGCTGTGGAAGGCCTGCCTCTTGAACACTTGTGGACCGCTCATCTCTCTACCTTTGTCATCCCTCCCTGTGTCAAGCATCCTTCTCCTCCATAGCTGATGGCAGCTACCTCCTCACTGGTCTCTTCCCAATGCCTCCCACCTGTTCTCCCTGTGGTACAGAGGTATTACTTTACAGTATAGATATGGTTGTCATCCTCCCAGGCCTCTGCCTGCAGCCTGTGAAGCCCCGAGTCTCCAGCACTGCCAGCCCACAGCCTTGCCCCTTACTCTTGTAGCTTCTGCCATCATGGCCTTTCTCCAGGGCCAGGAGGGCATCAGTCCCTCACGTAAAGCATCAACTCATCTGGAGCACCTCTCACCTAGGACATTCTCTTACCTGGACTATTCTGTCATCTGGAGCACCCCTTATATTGATACCTGGGCATGGAGGAATCTCCCCAATCCAGGCTGCTAGGGGATTCCAGTTCTGGAGTCATGGGCAATAAGGACTGAAGGCTGTTGGCACATCCTACCCTGAGACCTTGGGGGCTAAGTGAGAGGGAGCCCCTGTCACATGGGAATGGGGATGCCTGTGATAGGGTAACCCCTTGTGGTATTCAAGGCTAGGGGCAGCACCTCTGAAACGCCCTCACAGGAGGTCATCGGGACTCTCCTTGCGGGACTCTGGAGTGGTATATGTGCCCTTGGAGCCACCTGCCTGGGCCCAAATACTCTCTTCCTGGGTAGGGCCTTAGGCAAGTACGTCTCCTCCTGAGAAATGGGTCTGGGGTCCCAGGGGGTGCCCTGAAGGTCCTAGCTCAGCATGATGGTGAGAACCCCATACCCTATAGTGATTAGGCTGGCTCGGCTCTGAAGCCTCGTGCTATGGAGCTATGAGACAGACACTGGGCCCCTCACTGCCTCAGCCCCCCACCCAGAGGCAGAGGTCCCAAGAATGCCTGGGAAGGGACTCTTGTTGGGCAGGCAGGCTGCAGGTTTGTTTGGCTGTTCTTGCCACTCCACAGCCAGAGTGGGTGCCCATAGGAGGGAGAATCTCTCAGCCTGGAGTGGCCATGGTGGCCGTGGGTGGCACATAGCAGGCAGTGGGCCTCTCTGCTGCCTTCCAACTTCTACTCCCTCCTCCTGGGACCCACGCTGGACTCACCAGGGGCAAGGGGGCGGAGCAGACAGGGCTGAGGATGACTCAGGGCCCAGTTGTCACCAAGGCAACACCGTCGCCTAGCAATGGCAGTCTCCCAGTAACGGTTGTCTCCTAGCAATGGGATATTTTCCCAGCCCCGGCTGGAGCCTGGCAATTATTTTTAGCTCAGCTGCAAATCAGTCTGCAGCTGCATTTTTGGCTCCTCAGGAAGATGCAAGGTGTATGTGTGGGGGTGGATTTCTTGTCAAAGGGAGGAAAACACTCCATATACAGGAATCTTGTTCTGTGTCCCGAGGTGTAGGCTTGTGGGAGGGCAAGGCCAGCTTCCGCCTGGGATCGGAGTAGGGAAATGGGATGTAGGTGAAGGGGAGCCAGAAGTTGCACAGGTTGCCTGGAAGAGTTGGCAGGTACGATCATCTTTCTGATGGTGTCTCTGAGAGGGCTGGTCACTGCAGCACCCTGGGGTTGCCTAGGTCAGGCTGGGCAGGGGTGTGTTATCTAGGCCAGTACTCATGGTACCATTGGAGCACATCACTGAGTGGCCCAGGTTCTGGTGGGTTCCTGGCACTCCCAGGCCCTCAGTTATGGAAACTGTTACCTGCTGTCCCCATTCCCCAGCCCCACCCAGGGGACAGCACCCTACACTGGGCCAGCTGGAGCAGCACATTCAGGTGGTCTTGGCTGCAGGGATCTGGGCAGCCACAGGCTCAGCTGGGGACATGGGCGGGGATGGCCTCGGCTTGGCCCATATCTCTCCCTCTGCCCCTCTTTTGCTGAAGCAGGAGCTCAGGAAGTCTTGAGCAAGTGGAGGCTTGACCCCTCTCTCTAGGCTCTCTCATAATTCCTGAAGGGTTTCTGTACGCTGTTCTCTTGAGGCCAAGTCCAAACTCTCTCCTGGCCAATGAGCCTGGGGCTGGCCCTGCTCACTTCCCTCTGGCCACCTTCCTGAGACCTGGTTTGCCCTGTTATGATATTGAGCTCTCTCGTGTCATTGGGGCTCTTGCTCTCTGTTCACTTGTCCTGGGGCACTCTTCTCAGGCTTTGTATTGCTCCCCCAGATCCCCAACTAGCCCAGCCCCTGCTGTGGTCATGAATGCACCTTGCCTGTACCCCTAGCACTTTGGGCTTCCTTGGGTAGGTGCCCTTCACCCTGTGGGGTTGCCTCTCCCACTGGAGTTCAGGGCCACCTGTTCCAGGCACAATTTAGGGCAGGGCTCACCTCTGACACTGCTCTTTGTCCTAGCATTAGCTCCAGCCCCTTGCCAGGACCTAGGTTTTGGGTGGGAATGAAGAGAGACCCCTTTTGGAGGGTCAGGGCACTGAAGGATCTAGAACTGACGGATGTGAAGGAGCCCCCCAAACTGAGCATAGACATCAGAGGAGTTACTTGAGATATGCGATGTCATTCATCCATTCACTCACTCACTCATTCACTCATTGGCATACACACTCATTCTCCAAGTATTTACTGGGTACCTTCAGTGTGTCTGGTCCAGGATGGCTTTCTGGCTCTCTGTCCCAAAGGCAGCAGACCTCTGATGGCTAACACTACCCAAGTGTTTTCCTGAGTGGGGCCGGAACTTGTGAGTACAAGTAGCTGATGCTGTCCAGGTCTGCAAGTGACATCATCATCCCTGGACCCCTCAAATAAGAGGCTGGGGCAGGGCAGGGGAAGCCTGGTGTTGAGGAGACAGTCCAGGGCCAGGAGTGTGCCCATTTCAGACTAGGTTACCTGTCTAAAAGCCCTCCCTTGCACCCACAGACACTGGTCCATTCTCTGGGGTAGAGTGGAGGTGGAAAGCCAGGGGCCCTAGGTGGGCAGGAGGTGGGTCTGAGGCCATTTCTTCACTCTGCCGCTAGAGGGCATCCAGAGCCCACTCTCTGCCTTGAGGTCAGGGCAGGTGAGGCCAAGGCCCTAGTGACCAGCCCTAAGTGGACCCATGGCCTCAGCAAGGGCAGTGGTAGCAGCTGACCTGGGTGACCCCTCCCTTCCTTTGCAGCACCTCTTTTGTCTTCTAGTACCCAGCCCCAGGCCCTGTCTACCCCTTTGCTTTTTATTCTTTATTGGGTAAAATACAAATAACCAAACAAGCATCTTAACCATTTTGGGGTGTACAGTTCAGTAGTGTTACATACTTTCACACTGTAATGCAACCATCACCACCATCTATCTCCAGAATGTTTTCATCTCCCCAAACTAAGTCTCTAACCTCATTAAGCACTAACTCCCTACCCCCAACCTCTCCTAGCCCAGTACCCATCATTTTACTTTGTTTCTGAATTAGGAACCTCACAGAAGTGGAATCATACAGTATTTCTCCTTTTGTGAGTGGCTTATTTCACAGAGCATAATGTACTCAAGGTTCATACATATTGTAGCATGTGTCAGAATTTCCTTTCTTTTTAAGGCTGAATCATATACCACCTATGAATGGACCACATTTTGTTTCTCCATTCATCTGTTGATGGGCACTTGGGTTGCATCCATCTTTTGGCTATCATGATAATAACAGCTGGTTCTCAGCCCACCAGCTGGGCCCTATTAGGTGTCTCACTACTCTTTGGCCTGAGAGAGAGACTTGGGGCCTGGGGAGGGGGCAGGCTGGTATGCTCAGTTTAGCAGCAGCTCCAATCTCTTACTTCCTCTTGGGCCATCTGCCTTCATCTGTCAGCCACGCACTCAAGCCTAGGCATAGCAGGAAGGCTAGAGTGCGGGAACAGTGGGATGGAGGGTTCATACCCACAGATGGCAGAGTCTATGCTGGTTCCCACAGATCTGGCTAAAGTTCTCATTGACTCCAAGGGTTCTAGTGTGAGGTTGGACTCCTGGCTTTGTGGCTAAGGACTCTGTTATCTGACCCAGGGGTTTCCCAGGCTGTCGAGAGCTGTCCACTTGGCCTTTGCCCAGGCCATCTGCTCCTCACTCAGCCTGGAATTGCTCTAGTCCTCATTGGCCAGCCACTCCCCACCTCCTACCCTCGGGAGAAATCCTGGCTGTGAGAATCTCTGTGCTTCCCCACCATTCCCCTCCTTTCATTTTGGACAGTCCATGTCCTGATCTCCTGGGGGCCTGATTTTGTGGCTCAGGGCTGCCCATTCACTTTTGTTATTCCACGGTGCCCAGCAGCCCCAGCACCTGGTCCCTCAGCCTCCTGGGATTGGTTGGGGCCAGGGAAGGAGATGTGTACTGAGAGCCACTCTTGGAAGGGACCACCCACAATGAGCACCCCAGGTTCCGGTGGACACTAAACCTACCCCTTTCCGCGACCAAGGGCTCAGAAGACATGCACCAGACCAGGACCGCGTACAAGTCGAGGCCGGTGGCGGGGCTACCTCAAGGGGCGACACAGTTCTCAGAGCTGGGAGGTTCCTAACCCGTGCCTGCGAGGACTCGGGCTTTTCATCCCGCCCCCGCGAGCACCGCTGCGATTGGAGGAAAGTTCCGGGGCCGCGCGGCGATTGGCCGCCTGCCTGGGTAGCTCCGACGTCCTCCTGGCTGCGCTTCTGAGCTGCCGCAGCAGTGGGCTGCGTGCGGCTAGGGTCGGTGTGACCGATCGCTCTAGCCTCCCGGTTCTCGGCGCCATGCAGCCTCCTGCGCTACTCTGCGCGCTGTGCTGCGGCCTCTTGGCCATGGCCGCCAGCGCAGGTTATTCGGAGGACCGCCGCAGCTGGAAAGGCAGGTACGACCCCCGGGAGCAGCCCCCTGGGGCTGCGCTCTCCCCTAGGAGGGGCCTGCGGGATGGTGTAGTCTGCCCTTTGGGTTGGGAGTCGCTCCGCCCTGGCACTAAATCCCCAGCCTCCCTCCGGAGTGCAAAGGATGCTGGGCCTCAGTTTCCTCCTCCACAGAGTGAACGCAGCCCTGTGCCTGCGGGGAGCGGGTGCAGGAGAGGGGGCTAGGTTGGTTAGGGACGCGGGATGCCCGCCTTAGTGCCGCGCGTCTGTCCACAGTGGCCTGGCCCAAGAGCTCGGCAGCGTGGGGAGGCTGGCCCTGGCCTGTGTAGAGGTTCGGGACTGAGTGGCTGTACCTGGCGGGCGCGCTGCGCTTGACCCTGGGCTCCGATTCCAGCGCGCGGGCTCGCATTGCCTGCCTGCGGGCGGCGCAGCCCTTTGCTGGCGCCCAGGTCTTCGTGGAGCGGGCGGGCGGCGCCCTGGAGCTACTGCTGCTGGCTGAGGGCCTGGGCCCATCCGAGGGCCGACGCATGCGCTGGGGTCCCCGCGAGGGTAGGGCTTTCTTCCTGCAGGCCACCCGGTACCGCGACATCAGCCGCCGCGTGGCCTCCTTCCGTTTCGAGTCGAGCAAGGACAGGCGTCCGGAGCTGCCTCTGCAGGCCCACGGTCTAGGAGCGGATGGTAAGTGACGGTCTGAGTGCGGAGAGGTGGGAGCCATGCAGTGAAACTCTACCTGGGCAGGGTGGGAAATGCCTGTCTTCCCCACTGCACAGAGGGAGAAACTGAGGCGCTTGTCAGATACCACACAGTGAGTAGTAGCCCCGGGACAAGTCAGAGGGAGGGCGGGCATTCCTCCATGACTCATCTTAAGGAAAGAATGGGCAGGGGACAGAATTGGGGGAAGAGGAGGCCAAGCAGGGCAATGCCCGTTTCTGGTCCCTAAGGGGCTGAAGAAGGGAATGATGAAGATGGTACAGAATCAAAGGCCCTGGTCAAAGCTGTTCAGGACTCCCTGGCCCAGGGAAGACCTCCTCTCCACTCCCCCAGCCCAATACAACAAAAATGCAGTGAGAGTCTGTCACCATGGAGATGCCCCTGCCTTTCTGTAGGACAGCAGGCCCAACTCTTTGCTGTCCTGGAACTTGGAGCCTGACCACCACAGAGAGTGGAGTCTCTTTGTTCTGCCTCCAACTCCAGGCCAGAGACTACAGAGCCCAACAAACCCTCCTGTTCCACCCCCACCCCAACCCTGGACCAGGCTGGTGTCTCTGGGCCCAAGAAGCAGCTCTAAGAGGCCACAGGGGTTACCGCACATGCGAGATGGGTGTAAGAGAGCGTACACCTGGATACTGAGCTCCAGGTAGGTGAGTTCTCACCTGCTGGGCACGACCCCCAGGCCCATGTCTGTGCACGCATGAGCCTGCAAACATCACCTGGAATGCAGGGGGTCTTCAGGGTGTGTGCACATGTGTTCCCACAAATCTCCAGCTGCCATTAGGCCCTGAGGGAGTTCCGGTCACTTGCCCTCACCCTTCAGTCTCTGGCTGGTAGGGGCGGCCTCAGATGGTCCAAGACCAGAAAGGGCCTACGCTCACCATCTCCTCTGCATGCCAGGTGCTTGCAGGCCCTGTAGCGATGTGGCGTTCCTCTTGGCCTCATGTACCAGCAACTTTGGTGAGTGTTCATGTGGAAAGGAAGCGGGGGAAGGGGTGGAGAAGGGAGCCTGGGGTCTACCCTCCCCCACATGCCAGCCACTGGCCAAAGTGTCTCCCCACAGTGATCCATGAGACCATCCACAGGGTTGTCCATGACATGGAACTACAGGAGTCCATTATCACCATTACAGTTGCCCGTTTCTCCACCAGACTGCCACTGTTCCAGATGGGGGGCTCTGGGAGCCAGGTGCAGGCCTCCATTTGCACCCCACTACACTGCGGTGTCAGCCCTGGCCCTGAAACTTTCCTCTTCATGGGCCAGAGCTGCTTTGGTGAGGCCTGGCTTGGCTGTGCACCTGCATGCCTATGCAGCTGCCCATGCTGACCACCTTCATGCCTGTGAGGTACTGCTGGACTGAGGGAGCCTGGGAGCAGGGCTTCAGGGAGGGGCCAGGAGGACGGTGGTTGGGAGGGGATGGCCTCCAGAGGGCATCACAGTACCAATTGCTTCTGAGTGAATAGTCATAACTAATAAGAACATTGATTTCACTAGCTAACATAGGTCAAGTGTCCTGTGCCTGAGCCCAGCCCTGGAACTGCTCTGATTCCTACTTTACTCAGCAGGAGGCCTTGTCTAATGCCAAGCCAGCTAGTGAATGAGACAGCAGCCCATGCCCATGCTCCGAGGAGAGGCTGCTGCTAAGTGGGATGTTCCTGCAACCTCCTACCCACATGAGCCTCAGCTCTGTTGCTCCTGTTCCAAATGCTGGGCACTTCCTCAGCTCAGAGTGGGAGTGGAAAATGGGCCATAACTCCCAAAGTCTGAGGCAGGTCGTGTCCCTTTTGGGGGCAGGAAGGCCAATATCACTTTCACCCTGGGAGGAAAGGGGTTGCAATCTGGTGGGATACTGATATCCCTCTGTGGTCTGCTGGGAGCTCAGCAGAATCATTCCGGTCCTGTCCTGCTCTTGGAGAAGAATAGGCCCCTCTGTCCTAAGGCCCTTGTGACCCCTGTGGCATGTGGAGCATCCTGACATCGTGTGGAACCCGTGGGGTATGAGTCACTCCTGTGGGGTCCTGCTTGTTGCCCGTTTTTGGTGGGCAGGGACGTACAACGGGGCCTCTAAGGAGCATTCCTTGCCACTGGCCCCATTGTTGCTGTCCCCGCCTTCCTCCTCAGCTTCAGCCACAGAAAGGGCCAGTGGTTCTGGACAAAGCTGGCGGCCTGAGGCTGAAAGCCCCTGGGATGCCAGGGCTTCTGAACCTTGAATGAGCTCATCTTGCTCACCCTAACTTCACAGCTCCTGGAAAAGAGAGCCACAGCTTAAGTCTGGGGGGGATGCCTGGGCTGAGCCCTAGAAACAGCTTCCCATTCTCACCTGCTTTCTTTGCTGTTGAAGGGGCCAAGGGTGCAGGTGGAGGCCAGGGGTCCTGCCATCTTTCAGGCAGCAACTGAGGCTGTGCAGGGCTCACACATAGGACCCCTTCCTCTGGACACTCTGGGGACACTCTGGACTTCCCACAGGATGGCTTTCTGAAGCAGCACGTGTATGGGGGAGTCCTTTTACTTACTGCTGGCTAATGAGAATTACAGGGTTGGGGCGAGCACAGCCACCCTCCATGGGAGGCCCCTCTGGGCTTCCTGCCCCTCTCCTCCTGAGGCTTCTTGCCACTCCCTTTCACCTCCCCAAACTCTTGGCTATAAATACCATCAGCGTGCTACTGAGCCCTACATTTTGGTCTCCAGCCTAGACCTCTCCTGAACTGCTGACCCTAGCATCCTGTCAGTCCTCCTTTCCCACAAGGGAATATCCCAGTAAAGACCAGAGGAGGAGGAAGTAAGGGCACCCTGACTGGTTTCCTCCTCCCTGTCTTGGGCAGGCCCCAAGGAGGATACTCCCAGGGCTGAGCAGCACCCTCACCCTTGGCCCTGCCCTGATTCTCTGGTTAGCTCTCCACAGCCTCTCATTCAGAAAGAGGCCCTGCCACACTTAGTGGTGACTGGACTGCCTCTTGGACCACCTGTCCACAAAAATGTAGGGCAGCTGCTCTGAAGTTGGCCCTAGGCTGGGTATTGGCCTCTACCTACCTTCCCTAGGACATACCTGAGCCTCCTATGCACACACTGGCTGCAACCAGCACTCCTCCCAGAGGTGCACGAAGGGCAGAAGTGAGTATGGCTAACAGGGCCACTGGAACCCTGGAAGTCAGGCCAGGGGCTTTATGCCTGCCCTGAGGGGGTGGCTAAGGGTAACTGGTGCAAGCTGGAGCTATGGGAGCTGGCCTTCAGGGCACCTGTGGGGCACCTCTGGGCATGTGCATTCACATGGCATGCACCGACTGTCCAGTGCCGACAGGCCAAGGAGCAGAGTGGCGAATGTCAACAGGAGTCGTGGGGTATGTATGCTGGGAAGCCAGTTAGGTGCACGCATTTAGTAAACAAGCTTTTACTGAGTACATCTTGGTGTCAGGTGCTGCTCTAGGCACTGGGGATAATGAAGGAACAAGAGACAAGTGCTGTGTAGGATTCCCCCTAGCTTAGAGCCCAGGGCACAGCCTTCCTTTCTGGGTAGGGCCCTGTGACAGCCCCAAGGAAACGGGATGCTGAGCCAGGTGGAGCTGGCTCTCCTCTCCAGGGCTCAGGTCTTGGTAGCAGGGCCCTGGGGTTTCCTGCCAACCAGGGACACCTGTCTTTCAGGTCTGGTGGCAACTGAGGCCTAGTGTGAGCAGTTATGTGAGGCACTTTGTACTTGGGGGTTGGGAGCAGAGTTTTGGGTGTGCCCAGTGTCTGAAGCACTCCCTGTCCCTGCTGGGGCTCCTGACCAGCGTTATGGATGGCTGAGTAGCCAGGCCAGGGCCTGTGTTCAGACAAGCCCCTGACATTTATGGCCATTTGGTGGGGTGACGAGGAGGTCCTGGCTCTATATTCCCATGCCTGTGTTGCGCACAGTCCCTGATATTTATGGCCATTTGGTGGGGTGAAGAGGAGGTCCTAGCTCTATATTCCCACTTTCCTATCCTATCCCCAGGCTTTGACAGGTCACCTCCAAGAACTCAATTTCTTTTTGACGTTTTGTGGAGAAGGAAGGTGGTCTCAGCTCCTGGGGGCTCTTTCTTTAACTACCATGGCAGGGCCGACTGCCAGAAGCCCTGGCCCCTCACATTTGGCTTCCTTTCCACCATACTCACAGGGAGCCAACATGTGTCTTCTTGGGTCTACTCAATCTCTTCTTCATGTCAGCCCCCTCCTCTCTGTCCCTTAGCTGAGTTCTAACTTCCACCATCCTCTCTCCCTTAGACCCCAGCGCATCCTGTTTCTTGCCCACTTGGGCTTATGGCTTTCAGCCAGAGGGAGCAACTGCTTCTAGGCTTGGCTGATTTTTGCGGTGTCCTGATTGGCAGAGACCCTTTCTAGTCTCTCTGAGACAGCGCTGTATATGGCCTGGCTGTGACCCAGGGTGACCAGGCCTGGAGGCTATCCCACCTCCAGTGAGCCCCTTTCCCACTGTCAACCTTAAAAATAAAATAGCCAGTTATTTTACCAGCAAGAATGAATTTATTTGGGAATGACAGAATTGCAATTTTGGGCTTGCAAACTATGGTGAACCACAGGCAAGTCTGGAGAACAAAGGAGAATATCATTTTATAGAGAAAAAGGAAGGAGTTCAGAGGAGTGATTATAAGCAAAAGTCCAGTGGAGGAGACTAAGAGTTCAGGGTAGTGGTGGCTTCCTGTTGGCTGAGTGTGGTGGTTTCTCATTGGCTAGGCTGTTGTCCGGTAAGGAGAAAATCTCTCCTGCTGGAGTAGTAAAGTAGGCTTCTTCCTGTTTGAGTCTGCAATGTGCAGTGACTGGAAGTGTGAGAGAGCTCTTCCTTCAAAGCTTCCTGACTCCAATTTTATGAGGTTTCCTTTATTCATTTTCACATTTCCCCGCTTTGATCAAGATCTTTCTCTGAAAGTATCACTGACCAATAATCAGTTTTTCCACATTTAGTGGTATTTGTCCCTCTGTGCCAGGGAGGACCTTTCCTGATTGTCATGTCCCATGTCAGAGGGAAAGTGCACAGCGATTGGAAACCACTGAGGTCACATTTGAGTAACAAGGGTAAGAGGAAGGATGCTTGGGCATTCCCATCTAAAGTCTATCTTATATCAGAGTCATCTTGATCATCTTGAAGCACTGATCCAGCATCATTCTATTTGGTGCATCATTTCTGCAGGAGCTTGATGCTCAACAGGCAGCGGGTACAAAGTTTGAAAATAATTATACGAAACAAAATGAGCAGAATAAAATCCAGTTTATATAATGGTCCTAAACCAGGAGCCTAAACCTGACGTAACCAGCTAAATAAGTCAAAGGAGATCTCAATGGAGAGTCAGGTGAAATTTGCTTGTTCTCTAATTTTGTCTAAGTGGGTTTCTATTTCTCCAGAATAATTTATCCACGTGCAACACATAGTGTTTGCTGTTGCAAACTAAAACATGGTTATTTTCAATGGACATAATTAGGCTTTTGCAATATTGAAGTATATCTCCTTTTATCAGCTGTGTATCCAAAGAGGCAGGGACTAGATCAATCAGCACCCTTTGACTATCTCCAAGGGTGAGAATTTTTGAGTTCCAAAGAGGATAGATCTGAGATTTAGAAAGGCCGATGGCAATACTTTGGCCAACGTATTTGGAGGGTTTTCCACAAATTTTGCCAATTTAGTTTTGATGATGCCCCTGGTTTATTCAACTAGTCCTAAAGCCTGAGAATGATTAAGCACAGTGAAAATGCTATAGAACTGACCATACAACACAGTCTTGCCATAATATCTGACCAGTAAAATGGGTTCCCCAGCTTCTATGGAGCTCAAGAGGGGTTTCCCAGGTAGGGATGATTTTTTTCCCAGTAGGATTAGGCACTGAAGAGATAGTAATCCACATGGAAAGGCTTTGACTCAGTGGAAAAAACACAAATTACCAAGACACATTTGTATCCATGAAAATGGGGTAGCTGAATAAAGTCCATTTGCCAAACCTCAAATGGTTCATTGGACAATTAAAAATATCTGTGGACAGTTTTCCCTGGATTGTATTTTGGGTATGTGAGGCAAGGAAAGTAGGTGCTTTTTGTGGCCTTATTAATATTTTCCCACCAGTACTGGTTTATAAAGTTTATCATTTTATCAGTAGACCCACGATTCAGTGCAAGTACAATAGTCAGTACTGGGAATTTTAGAATTTCTGGTAGGAATGGGTCATTATTTGGCCCAAGCCAGAGTTCTGTTTTCATCAAACCAACAGTTATTAGATTTCCAATATCATTTTTCCTCTTCTGGGGCCAATTTTTAGTTATCTCTAATCAATTTCTCTAAATTAGCATTTGGGGGAACATTCCTTTGGACCATGACAGAGGTTTGGCTGTTGATTCCTTTAAGAGACAGCAGTGTTCTTGGTGGAAATATATCAGTGAGGTGGTTTCCTTTAGCCTCCAGGGAGTCAAGTTTGGAATGCCCAAGTATCTTAATAGCCAAGGCACCCGGTAGGAATATGGCATCTAATAGATTTTGGACATAAGAACCATTTTTAATTGTTTCCCCATTTAAGGTTAAGGAAACCTCGCTATTTCCATTGCAATCCAAAGTCATGAACTATGTCAAAGGCATAGAGACTATTGGTATAAATGTTTGCGGTTTTGCCTTGGCTAGAGCACAGGCCAGAGTAACTGTACAATTCAGTCTATTGGGCAGAGGTGGCCAGAGGCAAAGGTGCCGCCTTGATGACTTCGAAAAGAGTTACAATGGCATACCTAGCCCAGTATTTACTATTTTCATCCTTTAAATAAGAACTTTAAGTAGACTGTCAAAAATCTACATTGGTTAGAGAAACTTCCTATAAGTTATCAAGTGGAGTCAAAAGGTGATTTGTCAGTGTCAAGACGTTGTGAGAGATTTTGTCAGCGAAGGGATGATAGCCAGGTCAAGATTAATACAGCGAGTTATACGAGGAGCGGTCAGCAACTGATGATGATGAGAATGATGAGAATTCAGGAGGGCGTCTACTGCTTGGGTACAAGATGATTAGTGGGGAATCCCATGACTATTCGGTAGCCTTAAAAAGACAGTGGCAGAAATGGCTCTGAAACAAGGGGGAGGGGCATCCGAGTGCCATAGGGTCTAGCTGCTGGCTGTAGTACCTTTTGGGGCGATGGCGATCTCAATGTGTTTGGATGAGCGCCAGGTAGGGTCCCTGGGCCTCTGCAGAGCGGAACGCGAAGGGACAGGCCCGTCGGCCCCTGCCCCTTCCGGCGTTGCCACAGCCTCCACCCCGCCACTTCCGGCGTCGCGCTGGACGGTGTGAGGGTCGCTGCGCGTCCCGCGGCTATGGAGCAGGATGACCCAGCCGAGGCGCTGACAGAGCTGCGCAAGCGGCAGATGGGCGCACTAGAGCTGCTGCAGGTGGCCGCAGGGTCCGGCCTCGCCGCCTACGCCGTGTGGGCGCTGCTACTGCAGCCTGGCTTCCGCCGAGTGCCGCTGCGGCTGCAGGTGAGAGGCGGGACCCATGCCGATGGGTGGGATTCCTGGCGGGGTGGGGCCTACGGAGGAACTGGCTCCAGACTCCCGCGAGTGTAGCTTCTGGCGGGGCGTGGCTGCTGGTCTTGTGGGACGGCGCTCTAGCCGGTGGGCGGGGCCAAGGCTGGGGATGCCTGCATTGTGGAGCTGAGCCCCGGTGTGAGAGGAGGCGGGAAGGTGCTGTACATAAGGGCCAGCCGGGCTGTGAGTTGGAACCTGCTTCTGGTAAGGCAAGTCAGCCTATGCTAAGAAAGGAAGCCCGGGGCAGCCTCCGCCCCCCGTGTAGTGTGATTCAGGTTTAGAGACCAGACCTGTGAGTCTAGCCCTCCTAGCGCCATTCCTCTTCTTGCCTAGGTACCCTATGTTGGGGCGAGTGTGCGGCAGGTGGAGCACGTGTTGTCGCTGCTTCGGGGTCGTTCTGGAAAACTGGTGGACCTGGGCTCTGGTGATGGCAGGATTGTAAGGAGTGTGTGTGGGTGGGGGGGTCCTCATGGCTCTCCCACTAACGCACCTTACATTTTCTGGGCCTGATGCTCTTGGTGCCCACAGGTGCTGGCTGCCCATAGGTGTGGTCTCCGCCCAGCTGTGGGCTACGAGCTGAACCCGTGGCTGGTCGGACTGGCACGGCTGTATGCCTGGAGGGCAGGCTGTGCCGGCAGTGTCTGCTACCACCGTGAGGACCTCTGGAAGGTAACCTGAGGAGTCCTGGATCCCCTCAGACCCCACACCTGATCTCCACGCTTCCAGTTCTGGCACAGCCACCCTCCTGACAGCCCCAGGAGCCCCTGCCACCTGGGCGGGCTGGAGGCTGGCACTCGGAAGCCATGATAACCCTATGCCCACCAGACCTCTTCCCCGACTGGGGTCCCATTCCCTTCTGAGGTGACCTCTTCTTCCCATAGGTGAGCCTGAGAGACTGCTACAATGTATCTGTGTTCCTGGCCCCCAGTGTGGTAGGTCTGGGGTTTGCTAACCCCAGGGGAGGCCCAGGCCACCCCAGCATATGTGTTGGGCCTGGAGGAGCTGGGAAGGAGCAGCCATGTTCTACCCTGTTCACTCCACCCTCTTGCTCTCTCCCACAGCTCCCACTGCTGGAGGAGAAGTTGCAGGCGGAGTTGCCCGAAGGGGCCCGTGTGGTGTCGGGGCGCTTCCCTCTCCCAACCTGGCAGCCTGTGGCTGTGGTGGGTGAGGGCCTGGACCGTGTTTGGGCCTATGACATCCACAGTGGTGGGCTAGCTATGCAGGCTGCCCCAGCACCCAGTTCTGTCTTGGTCCCTAGGGCCCCTGAGCCTCAGGCTGGCTGACAACGTGGACACAATAAAGACTCAGTGGGCTCCACCCCGACTCTTTTTGGTTGGAGGGCTGGGTGGAATCAGTCCCCAAGATGGGGCTGTGAGGAGGGCTCCACGTTGGGTGGGAAGAGCTGTGCTCTGAGTTTATCTGATGACCAGCTAGCGGCTGCGAGTCCTTGGGCGCTGAGGCTTGGCTGGAGGTGCAGCCCCCACTTTCTGGAGGTCCTCTGTACCTATAATCTTCCTCAGCCTTAGGATCTCCTGCTTGTACCTGCTCAGAGAAACCAGGTTTAGTCACCTGCTTGGCTCTGGACAAGCCCTGCCTCAAGTGTTTGGGACCTCCATATATCCCACCTGCCCGAGAGCCCACCTGCCTAGGTGCTGGTCCACATATTCCTTGAGCTCAGAAACTTGCTCTTCAGCCATCGTGGCCCGGACTAGCAGCTGTGCCCGCTCCTGTTCCAGTTCTGCCTGGCATGGGGGTGCATAAACCATGAGCCAAGACGAGTGTGAGGAGAGCTTCCCGACTAGGCCTTACCCACTCGCTACCTGGGTGCCACGGAAGAAGTCTCGGAGCTTCTGATGCATATGGGCCCAGGATGCAGCTTCCAGGCCCCTGTGAGGGGAGAATGGGGGTGGACATGAGGGCCGGCATTGGCCCAGGCGCTGACCAGTGACTTTGCTCAAGTTGGGGCACCTAGATCTTTGAGGTGCTTCCTGGGGCCAAGTTCAGGACAGCATGGGCCCACCTGCCACTGTGGGCCCTGCCCAGGCCTTGGAGCCATTTTTCTACGTTGGGCAGGGCAGAGCAGCCCAGGCACAGAGGGCCCACTGGCTGCTCAAGGAGAGTTAAGCCACAAGGCCAGTTTGATAGTGATTCCATTGTAGGGATGCTGATGGGGGGCCTCCTCCCATGCTGGGGGTTTGTCTCCCAAAACCCTGGGAGGTAGGCCTGTATAAGCCCCTGTCTATTGCAGTTAGAAATATGGAGGTCCACAGACAAGGGCTGTGGAGGGCACCAGGTAGCCTGCTCCTGCCCTGTCCTCCAGGCTCAACTGAAGCTTCCCTTCCCCCAGGCTTTCCCTGACCTTCTCATTTGAGGTCAGCCTCTCTCTCGTCAGGGTCCCTGTTCACCCCAGGCACTTAGCTTTTCTTTAATTATTAGTGTTTCCCATACAGACCTAGAGCCAAGGGTAGAGATGGGCCACCTTGTTTACTACTGCAACCAGAACCCTGCCCAGCAGTTAAAAGTTGGTAGAATAATAATCACCTGCTGGTCCCCACAACAACCACAGCAAGACACTCACTGTGGCTCTGATGTGCTCCCCTGGGAAGCTTCTCCAGGTCCCTTCTGTGGGAACAAGAGCAGTGTCTTGAGCCCTTTGAGTCCTTTGGCAGAACAAGGTAGCTACTCGGAGGCCCTGGGGTGGGGGCTTTGCTGAGCCTGGGACAGGCTCTAGAGGGAGTCTGGGCTCTTTGTCCTAAGGCCAGAATGGGGCAGCAGAGAGGGGTCACCTGAGCCTGGAGCTGTGTCTCCAGCCTTGCCTGGTCCTCCTGCAGGTGGCTGAGCTTGGTGACCAAGTGCAGGGGCAGTGGCTTCAGATCCAAGGTGGCGGCATCAAAGGTAGCTTTGGGGATCTCAGGTGCCCCGTTGGGGTGCAATAATGCCTGCTGTACACTAAGTGACATGCCAGGTCATATAGGGTCACCTCATCCCAGATTCCCATCTCAGGGAAAGGGCCTACCTGTGGCTGACCAGCAGTTCCTCATGCCTTCGGCTCAGATCTGCCAGACGCTTGCGGTAGTCTCGAGCAGCCCGGGCCAACTGTTGCTCACGACTGTGGTGCGCTTCCCGGATGTCCTCCAGAGTGGTTTTGAGGAATGTCTGAAGGGCTGCAGCTGTAGGTGCCTGGCCTGCACCATCTGTGTACTCCTGGAAGTGATGGGGCAGGGCTGGGGCTTGGTTGGGCCCACACCCCTTCCCCACAATTCCCTCCTTGGAACAGGTCTGGTAGTGCAGCAGGTGGGGCCCACAGGGTCTCTAAAGCAGTTTGGCAAACCCCAGCCAGGCTTAGGCTCCCCAGGACCTAGGAGCCTCCCACCCAGCACAGGGCCATTCTGCCTATCACTCACTGCCAGGGCTTGGACACAACGCTGCAACCGGATGGCGTATTCCTCATTCAGCTTCTTGAGTTGCAGCTGTAGCCGGGCGTTCTCAGCCTCGGTCTGGCGGAGCTGGCCCTGGCAGGTGGACAACACCTGGGGGTGGAAGCGGCCTTGAACCTATGCTTCCTAAGGTGGACTTCTGCTGAGCTTATAGGATCCCTACCCCCAATGGGGTACGGCTGAACCTCACCATGGCTTGTGCAGCTAGTTGTTGCCCAGCTGTCTTGGCTTTCTCTTGGGCTCCCTGTAGCTGTTGGCCCAGGGCTACCCTGTGGACATAGGTATGAGACTCAGCTGGACCCAAGGAAGGGGACTCCCTCTGCTCCTTGGGAACAGCCACTCACACGTGTGTCTCCAGTGCTTGCTGCCGGGCCCTCTGCTGCTCCAGTGCCTGCTTCATGTCTCTCTGCAGCTGTGAGGTTCACAGGGTTGACCCCAAGTTCTGAGTCCCCTGCGCTATCCCACCCCAACCCTGGGCTGGGAGAAACCTGGATAGGCCTCCAGGCTAGGTCACTGCACACTCACGCCATTCCCTAGCTTCTGCTGCTTGTCCTTAGGGGTCCAGAAGTCCTTGGGCTGCACCTGTATGGGAGAGCAGGTCCCAGCTTCACGCACCCCTGCTGCACTGCACCCTTATTCTGCTCCCACCCAGCTCACCCACCTAGGCCCTGCATGCACTCATGGTGGCCTGGAGTCTGCAGTGGTCAGAGTGACCCTGCCTTTTAGCTTTGTACCCAAGCTTCTGTGTGGGCACCTGGCGGGGCTCTGGATCAGCCTCTGCTGGGGCTGCATGCTTTCCGTGTAGCTCCAGCTCCAGCACCAGCACCCGGCTCTCCAACCGCAGGACCTGTGGGGAGACTAGGATGAGCAGGTATACTTGCCTCTGGGCCACCTGGGGCAGGTCAGCATCCGGCTTGGCACACATGGACACAAAACATATGCGGGACATTTAGGGACTCAGACACTGTGTGGGTGTGCACAATCCGGTGGGGGCACACCTGCACCCCCACAGCACTGGTCCTAAGTATGCATTCACCCCAAGCACTCGGGAAGGCACACATGGGCACATATCAGTACCCACCTCACTCTTCAGCTCAAAGATTTCAGCCTCATGTTGTTCTTGCTGGCGATGGGTTGTGATCTGCAGGTCGACCAGCTCCTTAGAGATCTGTGGGTGCCCAGGGCGAGAGGTGGTACCTGTGGAACCCTGCAGGCACCCACCCTCCTGCCAGCTCCTCAGGGCCCCCACACTCACCTGCAGCTGCTGCTGCTCACTCAGCTCTAGCTCTGAGGGAAGCTCTGTCTTAAGACTGGTGGTCCCAGCTGGGCTACCTCCAGGGACTCCTAGCAGCCAGTCCTCAGTTAGTGGTAGAACCTGGGGCGGCACCACCACCCATCCCCACCAGGTGCGTCTCAGGCTGGGCTGTGGTTTCCATTCCCTTGGAGCCACCAGCCATCCATGCACACACACCAAGCCTAGCTGAGCTGGGGGAGCCAGGCCCAAGGCTAGGATCAGGCACAGGCCATGGGTCCCTGCCCCCCCTCCTGGCCCCTGAGGGGACAGGGAAAACCCCAACCCCATGGCAGAAGCAGCAGCATCCTGGGAGGACTCACTTTCTTAGTGGGCCCAGGTGGGGCCCCTGGCCTGGGGCCTGGGGCTGCTGCATACTCCATAGACAGAAGGTACTCTGGCTGCCTCAAGGCCAGTGCAGCCTCACCTCCTGGCCTGTTGCTGCAACACCGTGGTTTGTGTTGCCAAGGCTTCTCTTGGTCCCGGGAGTCTCCCGGGCACGCCTCTCCGTCCCGCCCATGAGGACAGACAGGGCGGTTCAGTGGTTGGGGAGGTGGAAGGAATTCTCAGTTCTTTCCATATATGGCGATCCATTTTTTTTTTTTTTCTGGCTTCAATTTCTTCACTTGGGAAATGCAGACCAGCTTCCCTGCATTCATCTGGGGCGCGGATGGAACAAGGGGTGCTTGAAAACACCCAGCCTGGGTAGATGGGGGACAGCGCGCATAAAAAGGAGTTACCGCTGCTGTTACTGTTATCTTCACGCATGGTACCCTGTCCTACCATATGGGTTCACACGCTCATTAGGCACCTTCTGTGTTCCTCCCAGTGCTGGCTGAGCGCTGCGACGGGCAGGCAAACAAACCGGACAGATTCCTGCACCCCCAGCCTGAAGAAAAGGAATGTAGACGTCCCAATCAGGGTCCGGAGAGGGGATCGGGAGGACATAGTAGGGCTTCGCGGAGGAAGTGCCGAAGCACTGGGCGCGATGGGCAGGACGTGCGTGAGGCCCCAACCCGAGCACGCGCTCTCCGACCGCCGGGCTTTGGGTCCCAGCCGAGCGCAGGTTCCGGGCCGGGCAGGATGGGGGCCGTTAGCGGCGGCTGTGTAAGGGACCCATGACCAGCACCCGAAGTCCGCCTCGTCGGGCGTCGTTCGGGGCCGCGAAGCCGGCTGGCGCAATCCTCGACGGTAAGTAGGTGGCCAGGAAAAGGGGGAATGGGGGGCCGGCCTTGCGCAACTGAGAAGCGGCCGGGTGGGCGGGGCAGGCCTGGATAGGGGCAGGGCCTGTTGAGGGAGACGTGGCCTACCAGGACCGCAACTTAAGCTGCAGGCGGAGTCAGGGAGAGGGCATGGCTTAGGGGAAACGCTGAATGACGTAGGAGGGGCGGGTCCTACCACCGGTTGTGGCTTGGCGAGGACCTGGAGTTCGCAACCGCTGTTCGACTTGAGCCTGGAGCCAGGCATTCCACAGGCACGTTCTTAGAGCAGGGAGCGGGGCTCCTTTTCGGACCTCTAGTGTATGTGTGTGCGGAGCTAACCCCTCTGCGCACAGCCCTACCTCGGGTGCGGAGAGGGAAGCCCTACCCTGAGGAAGGGGCTCTGAAGGCTGGGGAGGAGGCTCGGAGTGGCTGAGCCCTGCGACCACGGTCAAGGTCATCCCTGTGCTTGAGGACAACTACATGTATCTGGTCATTGAGGAGCACACGTGGGCGGATGTGGCTGTGCTTAAGAAGGTGAGAACAGGCTGTGGGCCCAGGCATTTTGGGTGGTGACCCGCCAGTCCCCCTTCCAAGAGGCTCCCCGACCACCTTGGTTGAAGCAAACCCATTCTCTGTTTTCTAATCTCTGGTGGTTTGGCGTTTAGGGTTTCTTGATTATATCTTGGGCTTCCTCTGAGGTCAAGCCCTCCTCTTTCTCCTTCCTCTGGTACCTAACAGTTCTGTACACACTGGGCGCTGAGTAATTGCTGGATCTCCCCTATCCCCCGCCCGTCCTGGCCTGCCTGGGGCGCTGTTTACGCCAAACCTGGACCCTTCGCATCTCCCTAACTCCCAACCCTTTCAGCTGCTGGAGATAGTAGGCCTGGAGGGAGTATCACTGACCACCAATCGTACTGACTACCCACCACCATTGTTGAGTGCAATTGGTGCAGACCAAGGCTCTACGGCCTCTAGTCCACCTCGGCCCCAGTGTGATCCTGCTCTCACCCATTTGCAGGAACCATGCTTGGGGCTATGCGGAGCTGGCATGTCTCTGGCTCAGGCTGGGACTAGTGCATCTGTGCGCTGACCCACAGGCTGGCGCATGGTAAGGAATGAGTGTGCCCCGGGGAGCAGGGGTCCCCAACCCCTGGGGCCACAGACCAGTACCATCTGTGGCCTGTTAGAAGCCAGGCTGCACAGCAGGAGGTGAGTGGCCAGTGAGCGAGCAAAGCTTCATTTGGATTTGTAACCGCTCCCTAGTGCTAGCATCACTGCCTCAGCTCCACCTCAAATCATCAGGGATTAGATTCTCATAGGAGAACTGGCCCCTGGTGCCAAAAAGGTTGGGGACCACTGCCTAGGAGAGTTGGGAGGCGCCAAGCCACTGGCCTCACACACCACCTGCTCTGCAATTTGGGGCCATCCATGTGTGCTGCCTCCTGACACTGGGCCATACCTCTGGCCACGTGAGCTATTTCCTGTGGGAGGACGAGTGTCCGGATCCGACTGCCCATGTTCTCAGGTAGTGCTGCCCCGCACTCACCTCCCTCTGACCCCATTCCACCTTCTCTGACCCACTCTTCTCCTCAGTGGACATGCTTTTCTTGGCCTGCTGCAGTTGACACCTGGAGAGCACAGCTCAGAGAGATGTGCTCTCCCCCCAAGGCAGTGAGCTGCCCGTCTCTTCCTCTCCCTCAGGTTCCAGCCTCCCTGCACAACCCACAGGCTGTGTCCTTCTTCTGTGTCCAAATGTCTGCCAAGGAGGCACTGTGCCAGCCTGCTCTGAAGTGCAGTCCCTGGGGAGAGCCCAGGGCCTCCCCAGACAGTGGCTCATGCCTTGCCATATGCTCCCAGCCTGCCCCACGGGAAGGCCCAGGACACTGGCTAGTACACCACCCTTAGGAAGGACGCGCTTGCCGTATGCCAGGAGTGCAGAAAAAATGCTCAGGGCAGATTGGGTGTGGGGAGAGGGTGCACGGGAGGGTGCTGGGGTCTGGGGAGGGATCTGGCCAGGCCAGCCAGGGTGAGCACCTGTCCCCATCTCTGCCTGTGGCAGTGCTGTGTACCCCAAGTGCCTCCTTTCTCCAGAAGGTGTTCTGTGGCCATGAGCACACACTGGGCCACCTCAAGTTTGCACAGACAGCCCTGCAATAACCATGTGAGGGCCAAGCTGTCCTGGGTCAAGGTGTGGTCACTACTCCCCTCTCAATGGTGAGAGAGCTAGAGGGTGGGGGGAGGACTGAGATCCAGGGGCGATACTGCAAGGTCAGTCTGCCATGATTAGCCCAGGGTGACCAGACCTGGTTTAGCCTGGGGTGTGCTGCCTGGCTGAGGGGCTCCCATTGATGAGGAGAAGGGTTGGTGAACTTAGGACAGGGAATAGGGCAGCCTATAGGACTGGCCCATGAGTGGCTGCCCTCAGGGTCTGGGCTGGGGCTGGACTAGGCAAGGCAGCCCCTCCACTGCTCTGGTCCCCAGGTTGGTGCTGAGTGGAGTCAAGTTGCCTGAGGCTCTCAGGCGAGGTGTGACAAGGGCTTGTGGTTATTCCAGAAAAGGGATGAGGAAGACATAGCCACAGTCCCATCCACTCTGGGCGAGGAGCATCTCTACAACCCCTTCCTAAGGGTGGTGTCCTAGCCGGTATCCTGGGTCTTCCTGTGAGGCAGGCTAGAAGCATATGGCAAGGCATGAGCCAATGTGTCTCAGGAGGCCTTGGGCTCTCCCCAGGGACTGCACTTCAGAGCAGGCTGGCGTAGTGCCTCCTTGGCAGGCATTTGGACACAGAGTAAGGTGTTGGGGGACTGGTTATTGGGCTGATTGGCATTGAGGAGAAGCTGCTCAGCTAAGCATCTTCTGCCAGGACCTGCCCAGCAATTCCCCTTGAGCCCTGTCGGTGCCCCTTTTCTCCACAGGGAGGAGCCTGTGAGCAAGTTCACCAGGAAGGCGGTCCCAGCTGAGGTCCTGGAGGTGCTCTGTAGGGAGCTGACTAGCTTTGAGCAGGCGGCTGAGCCTCTACAGCCACAGGCCCTGCAGTGGGGGTTCCTGAGCACACTCTAACCAAAGTAAGCACTCTGTGGACCTGCGGTGGGACCAAGAAGTACATTTCTACCTTCTTCGGCCCTTGGGATGACTGGGCCCATAGGAGGGTTGCCTCCAGAGCCGTCCAAACCCCTGCCCAACTGGCTGCCCAGCCTCATAAGGTGGACACTCTGGTATTTCCTGGTGGTGGACTTGCCCCACTACGTGAGTGTTTGGGAAATAGCCTAATGGGGTGCACAAGGCTTCTGAACTTTAAAGTTTTGAAAGGCCTTTTCAATGCTGGCAGAAGCTCTTAGAAGCCATTTTCAGAGGGAGGTCTCTTTATTAGAGGTGGGGCTCAGTGGAGATGGGGATAGGCTGA